CACCAACAGTTGTCTCCTTCTCGCCAAGCTTCTTGCTGATGGTCTTGTAGCTCATTCAAGCCTTGTGCAGATCTACAATCTTGTCTCTGACATCCTTTGACACAGTGCTTAATTTGTAAATGAATAATTGCCGGACCCAAAACAGCAGTTAAAAGGCACAGTGACTGACAATGAAAATACAACTTAAGTTTTCCCGGAACATTCAATGATGTCACTAAACGGTGACGCCACAATTATAAGAGAGCATCCTTCACAAGTTTCTGCATTAACCTAACTAGGGCACAGCTTCAAACCCTGGGTCAAAAATGGGTTGCCAGGATGATTTTAGGAAAATTAATATTTAAGATACATTCAAAATAACAAAATGAAATTAAATCATAGTAGCCTATAGGTATAAATATGCGAAAAATATTTGGATTAAATAAGTAACAGTTTTAATTAAACGCACATCCTTGCGTTTGTAAATGCTTTATTTACAAATTCACAAATGTTCTGTTGTTATTTTGAGTGTGCAAAAATAAAAGTAAACACTTTGTGCTTTCGAATTATCTTACTCTTATCTGTATGACCAAAAATAATGTATTTTATATTTCAGCTGTTCGATCGCGCCGGCGCCTCGCGCACACACACACAATCACACACACACACACACACACACACTCACACACCACATATTCGCAACTCAAACTTGACATCGCAGTCTGTTCATTATCAAAATAAAAAAACATCAACCAAAAATATAAAAGGTTACACTGGTCAATTTAAATAGTCCGTGGTTATTCGTAACATGCTTGTTCTTAAGTTATAGCTGTATTGTTGGGAACATGCTTGTTCCAGAGCAATCCGGTCGTTATTCGGAACATGCTTGTTTTTAAAGCTGTAGTTGAATTGGAAACTTGTTTTCTTAAGTCTGTCTGGTGTTATTGAGAACATGTTGATTAAGCTTTTAATTTTTTGGTCCTCTGTTAAGGCAACAGAATTGTTGCTACAGGTTATGCGGGTTTTGGCAACATATTTGATTGGCCATTGGTTAAGGGCAACATGCTTGTTGAGATTTTGCTATCAGTTTGTGTTGGGGGATATCAGCATATGGTTGTGTTTTGGGGGGTCATCGCTGCTCTCCCTGCTCTTGTCCATGCTAGGCTGCATGGATGCCCAGAACAGAACCATACGCCAATCCAAACTGTATGCTAATTGTCAATCATCTTTGACGATAGTGGTCCTGACAGAAATATAGTTATATTAGCTTAAACTGACTGTCAAAGTGCAAAATTGCTACTAACGTAGCATCAATGCAAACTTACACTGGATATGGAGGAGTCATAAAATAATCAGGTTAAACTCACAGCACATGTGGTATTTAATGACTGTGAGTGGAGACGTCAATCATCAGCTGTGCTTTGCGTGAATCCCGCCACAACCATCCTTTGCCACATGATAAGCACACTACTATATCGCGATTTTATTTTCTGTTCAATTAGTGTTCATTACAAAACTGTGGAGGGACAGATTATATTATGACCGTTCGTCATTGTAAAATAGACATTTGATCTAGACTGCAATAAAGAAGAAAAATTATTCAGTTTAAAAAGGCTATTATTCACCTCCTGTATGTGCTTTAAGTCTTCGACGTAGACCGCATTTTAATCTTTGTTTTGCGTAAATTACAGTTGATTCATGTGAAATATCCACTCCTGTACTTCCTTTGCAATATCATCAGACGATCTCTTGTCGGTGGAAAGACTGTAAAGCCGCGCGATGCGTGATATCACAACAGATGGCAGTAATGAACAGATTTAGTTTGTGATCTAGTCAGAAGAAGATGCTGCGCTGCTTCAATGCATTACAGGCTCGTGACTCGTCAGAACGGAATGTAGCGTTTGGTCACGCTACACCGCTACTTGCTGGAAAAAGTAGTTAGCTACAGGAAAAGCTACAGTTTTAAAAGTAGCGTCGCTACTGTAAAGCTACTGAAAAATGTAGTTACGCTAGTAGCGTAGCTACTTGTAGCTAAATACTCCCCAACACTGAAGAGTAGAGAGTACAGGAGTCATACATGATGTATGTGTTGCTTAGGAATGAGTGCATGCCAAATCAGAAGTCGTTCCTACGAACATATCACTTACCATTCCAGTCCAGTTCTACTTCCAGCACTCCATGATAAGCACACTACTATATCGCGATTTTATTTTCTGTTCAATTAGTGTTCATTACAAAACTGTGGAGGGACAGATTATATTATGACCGTTCGTCATTGTAAAATAGACATTTGATCTAGACTGCAATAAAGAAGAAAAATTATTCAGTTTAAAAAGGCTATTATTCACCTCCTGTATGTGCTTTAAGTCTTCGACGTAGACCGCATTTTAATCTTTGTTTTGCGTAAATTACAGTTGATTCATGTGAAATATCCACTCCTGTACTTCCTTTGCAATATCATCAGACGATCTCTTGTCGGTGGAAAGACTGTAAAGCCGCGCGATGCGTGATATCACAACAGATGGCAGTAATGAACAGATTTAGTTTGTGATCTAGTCAGAAGAAGATGCTGCGCTGCTTCAATGCATTACAGGCTCGTGACTCGTCAGAACGGAATGTAGCGTTTGGTCACGCTACACCGCTACTTGCTGGAAAAAGTAGTTAGCTACAGGAAAAGCTACAGTTTTAAAAGTAGCGTCGCTACTGTAAAGCTACTGAAAAATGTAGTTACGCTAGTAGCGTAGCTACTTGTAGCTAAATACTCCCCAACACTGAAGAGTAGAGAGTACAGGAGTCATACATGATGTATGTGTTGCTTAGGAATGAGTGCATGCCAAATCAGAAGTCGTTCCTACGAACATATCACTTACCATTCCAGTCCAGTTCTACTTCCAGCACTCCACCTCCCCAGCTTACTAATAAACCACCTGCTCCACCAATTACCCCGGTGTAGCCTATTACCACAGAGCACTTCAGCAATAAGAGCTTGTAATTTACTCTTTAGTAGCTTAATTACTGAACCTTTACATCCACTGCCTTCTCTTTTACCTGTGAGACAGCTCCGCCCCCTGGATTTGCCCTCATTGTGTGGCTCATGTTGTGTTTGTGGGTTGTGGATGTTAATTAAGATGCTCAGCGGTTGTAGAGTTACATTTGTGAAAATAATAATAATAATAATAATAATAATAGTAAAGGCACTGTAGACTGTTAGTAATCACTTTATTTTATTTTAATCATATTTCCATGGAACTTGTTCCATACATGTAAATGCAGCTCAGCATGCTTTCCAGGAATTTTGCATTAGAAACAATTCGATATAACAGATCACAATGAGACAAACAAAATGAGTTAGTAACCGTAATCAGATAATTAGAGTAAATGGTAAAATATCATAATTCATTCATCAGCATGAATCATCTGAAAATTGAAAAACGTTTACAATACCAGCGAGGATGTCTGTGTAATAAGCTATAAGCTGTGCTATAAAGTCGAATAATAATGTATACATCTGTAATATAAACTCCAAATATCCAAACGTGGTTTTTCTCAACAAAGCTCAATCATATTTAGAGTCTTTAGACAATAAGTGCTGCATTTAAAGCCCTGATGGCTGGCTAATCATTAATCCTCCTGTTCTGTTAAATTACATATGTTTTTATTTTATTTTTGAGCAATACCACAGAGCCCTAAAGTCTCTGCACATGATCGTGAATCCTCCTGATCAGGTGGTTGTAACAACGACGATGAAGGGAATAAAAGGAGATGGAGGAATTGAGATGCCTCCAAAATCCCCGTTCTGCTTCACATTTACACACAGTCATTTTAATAAGAACTAAACTTCAACTTGTTATGAGGCTCGGCTTTAAATTTTAGTTACAGACATGTAGCTGAGTGCAATCATCTTTGTGTTGGAAATATGTTGGAGTAAAATGGATCATTTTGAGGAGCAGGATTGCCAGTCAGATTTTTCAGTTTTGGAACAAGGTTGTGGTAGAAAAAGCAAGTCCATGGGTGGTGTTTTTTAGGAGTGTGGGAAAGTAAAAATAAAAAGAAAGCCAAGATCTTGTTTTAAAGCAAATCATCAGCTAAAGCTAACAGATTTCCCAGAAAACCACTGGCTATGGCAAACAAAGGGAAAGTGTAATGTATGGAAAATGTACAGAGCCATTTCTGCACAGGTTGAGAGAGGAAAAACAGGATTATGGAGAGGATAACAGTCATAACAGGCAATGGATGACAAAACTCTAACCCTAAGTGTGTTGGAAATATTGTAAATAAAATACAATATACAAATGTGTGCACACCACAGTGAAACTTTTGTTTGGAAAGAAAAAAACTGGTGTGTGTTTCTTCAGGGTGTGCCTCACACGTCCTGAAAAGTGAAGCTGCGGGCTCTTTGATCGCCCCCTGGTGGCTGGCTGCAGTACAGGTCAGAAACCCCGCCCTCTCCATGTAAACGAATGGGGACTTGAGTCAAAATAAAAAAATTAATTACACTTCCAATATAATTTTCCGAAAGATGGTTTTGGTCATTTAAGGTAGTTGATATCACGGTTATATATGTTCAATTGTTTGTTTTTGTGATAAGTTTGATTTTAGCTAGTAATTTGATGCTATAAAAACAGGGCATGTCGTTATGGTTGATTGGGTCTGCGGGAGTTTGATTCCGTGGCTCCACCTCACGACTCTACTGCGCAGACTCGGGCTCCAAACGAATCTCTACTGCGCAAACTCTGGCTCCAAACGAATCTCTACTGCGCAAACTCTGGCTTCGTGACCTCTCGCGAGATCTCGGCAAAAAGTCTCACGATTTATTTCCAGAACATGATGCATGATGGGATACACTTAGCCTTGAATAGCGCTCCGGAGCGGTATTCGAGATAGTGTGGGTTTAGTGTGCGTTAGGGGCACTGCACTTTGGCATTTTGAAGACATGGGACAGACTTGCACACTTACTTCCTGTCGCGCGCACGCGCTCTCAAGTGGCCAAGACCGCAAGTGTGGGTATTTGGACAAGGGGTATGGCTTCACTTTTCTACAATGGAAGGAATAGGAGATGCGTCGTCCATCTTTTTTACAGTCTATGGTTTCTTCAGGTGTCCAAACTTTTTGAGCTAGTCTCAGGTCTATGGGATTTAGGATGTAGTTGAGCTGGAAATTTTGAAAGGAAACCTGGCAACCCTGAACAGGAGAAATAAACTCACTGTCCATGTTTAAACAAAGGTGCAACTTCATGCAGAATGCGAATGCACCAGTCAAACCCACGAGCTGTGTTGTACATGGTTGCAACTTCCTGTCTTACCTGTTCAAACCGGGCCTGTCTACTTTGTCTGTCTATCCACCTGACCTTTGCCAGTTGGTCCACATAGATTTCAAGGTTATTCATATTATCTATGACAAAATTCACCCTTTGTCTCTCCTCTTCTGTCACATCACCTGGGTTTATGCGGCGCAGCACATCTATCAAAGCACCACGCAGTGCTCTGCAATATTCACCATACATCACTCCATTCGCATTCACGTAGAATTCATCCTCACCAAAGTGAACCACCATGTTTGTCTGAATATCTGTTTCTGTGTTTTGGGGAAGTGTGTGTCTGCCTAATGTATCCATTGCCTGCTGATTATATCCTCGTAGATTAGAAATACGATGGCTTTGTATAAAATCAGTCAGCACATTGAAATGAAATTTAAGAATGTTATTGTTGAAGACATGTTCGCCTCTTTTTGACCTTCCCAGTTCTTCCTTCAGCTCGTGATTGAAGTTTGGATTGAGGATACGGATCTTTTCTAACATGTCTTTCTTAATATCCTCCACTCTTTTCTGTCTCTCTTTCTGCTGAGCTGGAGTTGGAGGTTTTGTTCCCCTTTTGGAACCTTTGACCACACATTCAATAATCATTTCCTTTCTGACCTCTGTGGAGAAAATAAAAGTACAAAATTTCCTTGCTATGATTTAACTCTAAATTAAATTTATTTCATTTAAATTTAGAACAGTGAGAAGAGCAGAAATAACACGCACCTGTCACATTTCTGAGTCCAGAAAATTCAGCTGCAGCTGCTGCTGGTTTATCAGATAGAGTCAACTTCTAAATATGGAAAGATAAATTTCAATAAAAACTGTTACCATTGACTGGCATGATGGTGCACTGTGACATGCAATAATTATACCATATTCATACATTATGTAAAGAATAACACATGATGGACCATGCTGCTGTAGAAAAATAATCCACTTCAGGAACTCTGAGCCTCATAAGAGACTATTACATCCTTAAAATCAAAAATGGAAACTGACAGAGTAGAGAGTACATGGAACCTTTGACCACACATTCAATAATCATTTCCTTTCTGACCTCTGTGGAGAAAATAAAAGTACAAAATTTCCTTGCTATGATTTAACTCTAAATTAAATTTATTTCATTTAAATTTAGAACAGTGAGAAGAGCAGAAATAACACGCACCTGTCACATTTCTGAGTCCAGAAAATTCAGCTGCAGCTGCTGCTGGTTTATCAGATAGAGTCAACTTCTAAATATGGAAAGATAAATTTAAATAAAAACTGTTACCATTGACTGGCATTATGGTGCACTGTGACATGCAATAATTATACCATATTCATACATTATGTAAAGAATAACACATGATGGACCATGCTGCTGTAGAAAAATAATCCACTTCAGGAACTCTGAGCCTCATAAGAGACTATTACATCCTTAAAATCAAAACTGGAAAATGACAGAGTAGAGAGTACAGGAGTCGTACATGATGGTTCATGCAGGAGAACAACATCAAATCATAAATAATTTTTTAAAAATATATCCAGCTGAACTCTGACAATAACAGGAGTCTACTAGGATTTTATGTGATTTTGAAGATCAGTTCATATCAAAGTTTTTAACTGCTGGCTTTTTTTTTATTTTTTATATATATATTAGGAGAATTTGCTTTATTATCTGTCAATATTTGAATTTATGATATTTAAATATGACTCACTTTAAATAAATATGAATTCACATGGTTTTCCTTCTCATGTTTTTTTAATGACTCTTTCACAATGTATTCAACGGCCTTCTCTTTCTCCTTTATCACCGCTTTATTCCCTTCGTACAGAGCCAACACCAGCTCCACTGCCTCTTTTACCGTCCCGATGACAGGAACGATGTCCATGAACCCGATCCACACTGTGTGTTCTTCAGCCGCAGTGGACATGCTGTTCTGCTGTCTCTGTATCTAAAACCTTTAAAGAGAAGAAGTGCTGTGCTTTAATAGGGCTGTTTTCCTCCGTTCTACATGAACACTAATAAGTATTTGGAAAATTAAGCCACACGAACAAATCAATGAATTTCACTGCATTTGAAAACAACGTTAAACCAAGTGGCATTTATTTTGAAGAAAGCACAAAACATTTCCCCAAAATAGATTATGTTTTAAAAAATAAAAATAGATATACTGGTCATAATTAGACAAAAATGTATTTGGACCCTCAGTAGTGGCTTCATTACAGATCACAATTGCAGTGTTTTAGTGTTTAGTTTCTGTAACAACTGCAGTGGAAGTTTACTCCATCTTTCAACCAAAAAAAAAAAACGTTTATCCCAGAGGTAGTCATATTATCTCATTTAATACAGCAGAAATCAGCATTGTCTATATTCTCAAAAATACATGTATCTTACCTGTTTGTATTTAGCTGACTAGAGTTTTTGCAGCAGTGTCAGTCAGTCACTCAGCTCTGATCAGTGCTCTGTAATGAGCAGCACTTCTGGGCCATTATATACAGTCTCTACTAACGAAGTTTTTTTTTTTTTTAACTGGGCGTTACCTTTCCAGGAAAGGAACATCCTCTTACAGAAATGATTACAACACTCTCTTCTAGTTAAGAAATCTAAACACCAACTTAAAACCAGACTCTTCACTTTCCTTCGTGTTTTTAACTTCCAAAAAAAAAAATCTAAATCTTTGCACTGAGATCAAGCAAAAATAATGAAATGTTGCTTCTGTGTAATTGCTGTTTTGGGCTCTGAACATGAGCTGCATGAAGAGATCATGTTTATTAATGTAACATTGATGCTGGTAACACCACCTAAATTATAGAAAGAATTTTACTAATAGCACTTGTTGACCTTTTAGACCTTTTATTGTGCCTCAGGGATCCATCCTGGGGCCTCTGCTTTTCAGCTTATATATAAATGATTTACCCTCTGTATGTACAGGGTGTGATGTTTAGATGTACGCAGATGATACCGTAATTTATGTCCATGCTAAAACCAAAGAATTAGCTACTTCTAAACTTAGTGCAACAATGATAAATGTAAATAAATGGCTTAATGATTCACATCTGGTTCTTAATGTAAAGAAGACGTATGTTTTTCACAAAGATGCACTCTGTAACTGACTGTGATCCCAAAATGTATGTGTCTGGAGAGATCATTCAGGTAGTCTCTTATGTTAAATATCTTGGTATTATCCTTGATTCCACTTTATCCTTCAAAAAACAAGTGAAGAAAGTATTGCAAATAACTAAATATAATCTTGCTAATTTTAGGTATATAAGAAACTGTCTAACAACTACAGCAGAAAAATTATATATTAATTCAATGATTATTCCTCACTTAACATACTGTATGACAACTTGGTCTCAAGCTAAAGGAACAACACTAAAGCCTATTCTCTCTCTGTATAAGCAGGCATATAAAGTATTAGATAAAAAAAAACAATACTTACCATCACTGCAATATTCTGGGCAAATATGATATTCTTAGTTGGGAAAATTTAACAAAATACACTGATGCCTGTCTGATGTTTGAGATTGTAAATGGAAAAGCTCTCCACCACTTAGTATTTTTATTAAGCAGAAAAATGTAAACATTAGATCTACAAGATCAACTCAGAGAGGAGACTATGAAATTCCTTTCAGGTCCACCTCCTTTAGCCAATCATGCTTTTCTGTAAGAGCTTCTCAGTTGTGGAATACACTTCCAACTGAATTAAGAAATTGTACCATATATCATTCCTTCAGACAAAGTCTTAAAGCCTGGCTTTTCAAAAAACAGACGTGGTCATTTTTAATTTATAAATCTTACTGCTCATTTTACTATTAAAGGGGTCATATGATGCTGCTAAAAAGAACATTATTTGGTGTAATGAAATGTGTTTATGCGGTTTAAGGTTAAAAAAACACATTATTTTCCACATATTGTACATTATTGTTTCTCCTCTATGCCCCGCCTTTCTGAAACGCGACGATTTTTACAAAGCTCATCGTTCTGAAAAGCGAGGTGTGCTGTGATTGGCCAGCTATGCAGTGCGTTGTGATTGGCTGAATACCTCAAGCGTGTGACGGAAATGTTACGCCCCTCACCATACTGTGTGATGCCCTGTCCGGCCGGAGACCCCATTTCTAATAAGTAGAATAAAGGTCTGCATATAGTAGACGTAATCGGGTCAAGCGATTAGTCAACAGAAGAGACAGACGGCTGCACGTGAGTGTCCTGCGTAATACTTGTTTATAGATCTGCTGTTGGAATTATTACTTGCTGCTAGGAAGGAATATTTCGTTTTCTGCCTATTTCTACGTTATATTTTTGTTTGCGTTTGTATTTTTGATTGCACTTTCTGGTAATTATAATAATTGCCCTCGGCTAAGAAGGAGCACGTGTAATTTAATTGCTCCCTTCCTGCGTTTAAGTGCGAACTGTAGTTTCGATTTGAGGAATTGGCCTGCTATAGACTATTGGCTGTGCTAATTAGAAGGCGGCCACAGCTGTTTTCACTTTAGTC